AAATGCATCTAAATCTCACTTTACAGCTGATTGAACGTGAACCGGTCACACAGTCATGTTTGATGACTCGGATACGAAGAGAGCTTCGCGAACCCGCAATTGCGTTAGGTGTTATTTAAGGCAGACATTCAAGTTAGGCAGCGTTCACTAGCTTTAAAACTAAGCGAAAATGCGAGTACCAGGAATTACTTAAGAAGAAGTAGACACAATCACTGGGACAACTTTATTCGGCTGAAGTTTCGGATTCCAGCTCGAAACCATCCTCGGAGGTGGTAGGGAGTGAAACAAAATAACTCACTTTCACGGCAGGAAATATCTGGCGTAGTTTATCGAATTCGATACAGTTGTGGATAAAGCAGCTACGTCAGACAAAACTGAAAGACTACTCCGGGTGTGAATTGCCTAACGCGCGCCAGCAGGGTGGGGAGTGGACGCCAATTCTCTAGTCGCTGCTCATTCGACGCGACGCGGCCACACATTTTAGTTCGTTGAGGCCGACATTTTCGTAAGATGTGACAATAGTGTGACCCACAAGTCGTTTAAGGCGTGGTTTATGGGCTCCCTGTCTATTAGCAAGTCCAATGACCTTCCGAACCCATATTTGGCGCTAAGACTCAGGTTGTCCAAAGCCATCAGTTATGCGAGGATCGCACAGGTGGACAAATTTGCCAACGCCAGTGTCGGTGAGCCAGGTGGCCGAGCAATCTTCACGCCAACATCCAGCATGGGTGTTGACATTTCAGCATGCCACGGGCCGCATTCCGGCCACTAAGCCAGAGAGCAATCATCATCGGTGAAGGGGAAGACGTTAAGCTTCACAGGTACGAAGTAGCCTAATGATTGCATCCTATAAAAACTAAAACTCCCTGTGTACAATTTACCCGTGCCCGATGTTGTATCTGATGATGAGTTCGAGTTGGAAACTGAAACGTCAGACGAAAGAGGTTCTTGGCCCAGCGATCGCAACAACCCATTTTCAAGTAAGTCCTCCCAGGAACGTGAATATATATACTAATCGGGTACATATTTCCAAACTGGAAAATCTATTAAAAAGCAAATTACGTAAAACTATGACAGTCCTGGGGACATTAGAGGCGGAGGTGACCACTCAAGAGACCGTCCTCATAACTACAAATAAGGAGATGAATCACTGCTAACCAAGAGGGTCGACAGTATTTCTAGTGTAACCATTGAGACTAAATGTGCTCTTAGTATCCTGAATAAGACCATAGCAATCCACCTTATGAAAAGTAAACTCGCGAAAATTCCAAAAAGAAAAAGGGCAAGCGCACGAGCCCGCGGCTCAAGGCTTAGAGCGTTGAAATTTTAATCGACAGGCTGCAGTGTGCATTATACACGATAAGTAAAGAGTCTTTTAGAGAATGGAGGCTCATCGATCGACACCTGGACGCGCTCGTCGCATCAGGGGTCTAAACTTGTAAGAAAACGTGTATCTAGCTCAATGTTTAGAGTGAGTTCAAGCCTCGGGTGTCGCAACCCCTGGGTTTGGGGATGACTAGTTGCTGACTGTTAATAAACCAGAAAGGGCCTCGAGAGTGTACCATTGGACACAATCGATTGATGACTACCTATGTACCAAAGAGAATGTTAACAGTCAACTCAATGGTTTCGCTTTTTGCAGCATAAAGAGTCTTTTTTAAACAGATCTTAACAATTAAACATTTGCAAGTTGTAAGAATGTAATGCGTTTTTGGGCCAGTTATCGTTCACTTAGGGCAGCAAGTCAAAAATACGTAAGAGCTGTGATCTTGTTGATTTTTCTCAAAATACGCCATGTGAAAGGAAGCTGCGCGTTTTATAAAAATTAATGCCTCTCCCGTTTAAGAGTATTGTGCGTCTTCTGTGTCTTTATAGCCTTCTCCCACATTTATTTTAGTGTCAGTACTGGCATGTGCCTTGAAGGATGAGAAGGCGCCGAGTTGGTGTAGGAGACGCTGGGTGGGAAGGAAACTAACAAGTATTGACGCTGTTGCCATCTGAGGTTTGCCAAGCAATAGTAGTGCAATCACGTGCTACATAAGGTCAGATCCTGCTTAACCTCTCCCTCTCACTTCCTCCAATTTCTACGTGACAGCAACACAAAGCAATTGCCCTCCACCCCGTCAACGCTCGTAGTCCAAACTCAGCTCCTCCGCTCCCATTTGGCCTGTGTAAAAATCCAGTTTCTCTTGCATGGATGACTCTTTGTGCAAGATGCAAAATTCGCATGAGCTTTAAAATAAAGCAGAAATTTGCAGACCTGAGGCCTGCGCAGTTGACTTCACTTAATCAACAACTTCTGGTGAATTGAGTTTCGACTAAGAGGTTGGCGTTTCGAAGTTCCCTCATTTTGAATGCAGTTATAAAAATCTTGAATCATCGGGCTAAATCTCAGGTTGTAGGTAAAAGGCAGAAGGCACCAGAATGAAGGCTTTATCGCGCACAGAACCCCAAAGTGTTGTCTCAGGCAGCAGTGGCCACCGCTAAAATCAAGGCTAGTGTTTGCTGCATGCAGTCAAACCTGATAGTGTGAGACAGTGGTGGCAACTGCTTTTATGTGATTGTAGAGCATTTTCAAGTGGTGTCCAATTGAGGTCTGCCATTACCCGAGAGGTATAGTGTATAGCACCCTACGCTGCGTCGACCGAGGGGTGGTTTGTTCAAGTGGCCCTTTAGGCAGCCGTAACTACCTGTACGCGCGTGTGTGCCCGAGTGGTAGTTGGCCAAGGTTTTTTAGGTCAGCGAGTCGGAAACAGCTGTCTGCGAAGTTGCATGACCTTGAGGCAGAGGGCATTGGATTAGGAAGCCGGACAACAATGTTAGCTGTCCGCCACCGATCCTAACAAGCAGAAATCGACTGCCCCGAGTATCTCCGAGGTCACCTCTGTTTGCCGTTCGGTCGACCAAATAAAGCGACAAGCTTATCCTAGTGAGTAGTATATGCAGGCCTGTGCTCCGAGGCGATTTGTGCTGCAAACCAACTGTTTCGAAAGTTTAGCCAGAAACGCCTTATAACATAGAATAGAAATACAGATAGCTTGCATTTTCTTTAAAATTGAAATTCCACGTAAGTACGCTGAACACAGAAAAATTCCCTATTTTCGAAAATGTAAATTATTGCTTAAATGATACGGAGCCCAGGAAGCATGCATTATTGCATCATACGATATGAGAAAGTTCGAACCCCGAGAATGACGTTGACCGTGTTTCATTTGGAGTAAGACCTAGAAAGGCTTCTGAGTGCCATGCAAAAGGCAGTTTTTTCTCAAAAAATGATTGGTCACCAAGTGGATGGCAATTGGACCATCCGCGACTGTCGGTTATGGAACTTACTCCTCCCGTTGGTGAGTTCTAATAAAGCAGAAAAGGTAATTCCAGTCTCCATTGTCCTAGTCGGCAGCGTAATTCTACAGTTAGCCTCATAACTGGTCTGAATCCATGGTCAAGCGAATTTACCTCGGAATAATGTGCTCAGCTTTTGACATCAAAGCAGCGACATCAACTCTGTGGTAACGATCCCTTATATGTAACACTATGTAGTTTACTATACACAATTAACTACATATTTCGTTGTAGTAAGCCTATTTTATTGTGCACGTATTCGGCATTTACCAATCTGTTGCACTCCCCACACGGAAGTGTCTACCGTCTTGTGGTTACTTTTCGTTTTATTATTTGCGTATTTTCCTGGCAGTTACGGCCAGATGGCCGATTGATGTTGGTCAGTCAGATTTACTAGGTTCCGCTGCGCGAACTCCCTCCTCCCCTCCCCCTTCCTATTATACTTACATGTACTCTGCTTCGTTTAGCTGGCACACGCGCGCGCGCTCGCTCGCTATCAAAGGGGTTATGCCAATGGTCGAGCAAGAGGCGGCCCCTGTATCGATCATTTTGTTTCTTATAGTTGTAATCGCAGCCGCATGTGGTTCAACTGAATGTGGATATAGGCCTGGGGTTCTGAGTTTTTCAATTGGTTTTGGTGATGGGGTGAGTAGGAGGTGATTATATCACTGCCCTTAATGGTCCTAAGACGAAGACAGGACCTCTTCTGCCCTATTGGTTGTATTTCTAACTTTAATTATCCGCGCCAAGCATTAGGTCATTAAATAATTGATCCGCTCACTTTTTTACTCTTGTACACTTTGTTTTATTTTCTTTGCCTGGTTTAATACACCCCATTTAACCGTTTTTACCTCCGGTCTCTTATGACACAAACGTGGGGTTTTTGTAACTGTGGTGTTACTTATAAGGAATCAATGCCAACTAGGTAAATTCGCCTACTTACTATTACAGTTTTTTAGCAAAATGGAAGTGAATGCGTTTACCCACCTCAGTGGTAGCACACTCCGACTATGAACATATCTCTTACATTGCTAACGAAACAAAACGTCCCATACTTCTCATGGCAGATTAAGCGGTCTGGATTTTCTCCCAAAAGGACGGGATGGCACTGCGACCACAACAGAATAACAGATATAACGGATCTTTATTGGACCTTCAGAATGAATGCTGAAGCCGGGATGGGGGTTACAGTAGAATATTTGGACGGACTATATTCAATGTTTGGGGTAATATAACTGACGCCTATAAAAAGCAGTAAAACAGAACATGCTTACTACTACAAACTAAGTAGGTTGTTATGCACGATACAAATGGTGTGCTGATACCTATAAGTTTCTCCTTTCAAGCTTCTAGCAAAACAATCGTAGGAATGGGCGTTTACGAGATCTGACTTTTCTGTACTAGTTATTCCGTAATCGTTTGATGCAGTGAAAAAACATCCATCACGTGGGGGAGTGACGGAGAAGTGTCTCCTATTTAAATCACCCCCGCAAGCCCACTAAATCTCTGTGTACACATTTGGACATTAGTCAGCTGTGAAGGTCAATCTTTGGCCAATCAGAATTTCAGGAAAAATGTTAAAACCTCTGAACTGTGGGCATGTGTCTTTCCAAGATCTCGGCGTTCTGTTCGAGGTTCCTACTACTAATGCTGCTTCTATCCACCGTCCTCTTCCGCCAATTGAAGACCGTTTGGCAGAGAGGCAGTCCTCTCTCGAGCGATTTTATCAAACTTCCTCCTGCGCTCAGCTGCCTGCATCATCGCATACTTGTGCGCCTCAAAACTCCACAGGGTGACAATGCTCCAGACAACGACTAGTATTCCCGCCCAACAGCCAATCACGGTGAGGCCAACGAGTACATCCATCTTCGAGGGGAATTTATATCTCAGCTTCTCTACCTTCAATCGAAAGGCAATAAATGCCCGATTCTGCCACTGGTGTTTTAGGCGAAGGTCCCGCCTGTAGCAGTTGTAGACACCCTCATCACTCACCTGCACGCTTCTAAAGTGCAGGGCACAGGTTTCTGTGAGGAAAACCCGTTCACCTATGAAGGTCTGCAACATAAAGGTCAGATTACTAGCTTCATATTTCCACATAATTTCAGCCGTCTGCATGCACACGCACTTGAATGTCGTCTCCTCGAACTCACCGCCACACAGCAGCTCGTAGTGCGCGGTATTCTCCACCACGACCTTCTCCGTCTTCATGTAACGAATGTCCTCAAAGCCAAGAATTTCGCTCTTCATAGTTTGAATGTCTCCAGCTAGGGCCATGTTTATGATCTCCAGGGGATCTAGTTCAGGGCATGGCAACTCAAATTCAACACTAGCGTAGAGATTCTTGAGGGCATAGGGCTTTGGAACACCGGGTGTGAGCTTGAAATGCCGCAGATAAGTGTAGTGACACGGTATAAAAATGTGGGTTTCGTTTAGTTGCATTTGAAAGCCCAATTCTTCGGCCCTGGCTGCAGCATTCTGCCGTTCAGTCTCCCTCTGCACTGGGTTCGCTATGTCCCGCCAGTCATGGACGAAGCCGAAAGCGCGCCTGACTAGCTCGTAATTTATTCGTACATCGTCTGGCAGTCGCTCCAGACTGTTTCGATCCATACGGGCTGGGATGACCAGGAAACAGCGGCGATAGCGAGTAAGATTAAAGGAGCCACAGGGTTGATTTGGTTTCGGAATCGGTGTCAGTCTTGATGTGATGGACATCACCTCGTTCTGCACATTGCCAAAGGCGCCAGAGTCCATTAGCACAGCACCTAACTTCTCCATTATTTGCTCAATCTGACTGGCAGAGTCTATGCGTTGGGGTTTCATTAATTCCTCCGGTAGACTACTGATCTTTTGCGAGAACTCCACCTCGTCCAGAGGCATGATCACGTCCAGATGATACCAGATCCTGAGTTCAAACTGATATGAATCACCACCTTTACAGTAATAGGTGCCGAGGTAGTTTTTTGAATTAAATTCTTTGATACGCAGGCTTTTATCCTCTGGGTTTAAGCAGGGCTTGGGATCCGAATTCTCAGCGGTGTATTCTTTCCCCTTGGGGGACAGTAGATCGACATGCAGGGAGGAGTTGATTCCATAGACCATAGTGAAGATGGGTCTGTCATTTCTTTCAACTTTCATCCAAGTAAAATTACTCGTACCGTCCTCAGGACAGCTAAAACATCGAAGGGTCAGACTGCCTTTATACGCATAACTCACTAGCACAGGGTGGTGACCACACAGCATGGCCTCTGTCCGCTCTGTAGTACAATCTCTGCGGCTAATATTCTGTTTAGGGCAGTCGTCAAGCTTTGCCCTAGCATATGAATTGAAGAAAAGTAGTATGAACCAGGAGAAGACCAACAGCATCATGGAGGGGGCCGCTCCTGTGAAGTGACATTGATTTTCCTACTTCAAATATCTAAGGTCGTGGTTCTCGGTGCAGCGGTATTGTCCGCAGGTTCAGATCGGAAGTAACACGTCCCTTTGTCTCGTTTGTCGGGTACATTTTACTATATAATTAATGCCAC